ATACTAGAGGAAGCATTATCTGTCCAGAAGGATAATGCGTCCTCGCCGTTTTTATACTAAAGACGCATTATCTGTCTGGAGGAGCTTGGGCAAACATTTGTAGTTCGTCTGGTTGAGCGTCTCTAGTATAAAGGCGGGCACAAGACGTATTATGCGTCTAGAGGAACTCTCGAATCTCTCGAAGCGCGTCGTTCAAGGCGTATTTCGAAGAATAGTTTGTTTAGACGCATAATAAGTCTTGTCCCCGTCTTTATACTAGAGACGCACATCCAAACGAACTACGAATGTTTGCCCAAGCTCGTCCAGACAGATAATGTGTCTTCAGTATAAAAATGGCAATTAAGGTTAAGTGACTGATGTGAAGTTTATTTCGCCAGCACTCTATTATGTCGCAGAAGATTTCGTCCTGCTTTGCTTATCTTTGTTCTTTTTTTTAAGGATTTATGATCATTCAAATAAACGATTTGCTGTTGTTTCTTGTAATTTGTAAAAAAGAAGACAAGCGCCTGTGCGTCACAAAACCAACTCCGTGACGAAAAGTTATTTTGCGTCACGTTTGCCCTGAGATCAGTGGCCGCGGCAGCAAATCTTTTATTTCCTCTGATTGTAGATTTGACATAGTCAACTTTTCCTTTAAACACCTCAACAACAAGAAGGAATTAGTTAATCCTTAGAGCAAAGACGCAGTTGTAGTGTGGAGCTGTTCACGAAGGGAGAAAAAAAGAGAAAAAAAAAACGTGAGTGCGCGCGAAATTGTAGCCGCGAACACCTGTCCTCGCCCCGATCACTTTGCTCTCCGAATTCTTGTTTCGCGCTCGCCGGAATTTTTTTCCGCCCTCGCCGGGAACCTGTTCGCAAGCTAGAGAATCTGGAGTCACGTGCGTCATGCCACGCAAAAAAAAAACCAAAACAAAAAACATACCGTTTAATGCTGACTCTAGAGATGAGCAGTTTACTTCAAGCCATACCGAAAATCAGTTATTCTGCAAATCGGCGCGTTTCCCATCCACAGTTGACGGTGAGTAAAGTTGACAATTATGATTAATTAACAGGAATTGTTTACATTCTATGCTCAAGTTGTGTGAACCGAAAACGCAGTCAAACAGAACTCAAATATATTCACCACAAAATTACAAACAATTCACTTATAACTGCAAATATTCGCAGTATTTGCACTTGAACGCGTGGAAAGATAAATGATTAGAGCGTTTAATAAGAAACACGCGGTTAATGTCGGAGAAAGGACTGAAAAGTAGGCATCATATAAAGAGGCAATAGAAATAGAAAAATAATTTATGTCATCTTCCGCCAACCGTTTTGCGGGGTTTATTTCGCATGAAGACTCTGGCCTACTCATAAAAGGTTTTGACATTTACAGTCGCTTCTAGTAGTGTATCCTTTATAGAGCCTTTTTTTTTGCATTTGACGATACAGCACGTCCGGTGGGAAATTTTCTTAAACTGCTCAAGCTCTGAGGATTGCGAGAAAAGCACTTCCAGGCCTGCTGTTCAGTTGAGCGGCAATTAAATCTCCATAGAGGTACTGAAAGTATGTTAAAAAATATAACTATCTGTAAAGCAATCATACAAAAAGTCAGCATTTTAGCAGGACTAACAAAAAACGAAGAAACAAGCCGCCGTTTCTGCTGAACAACATTGTTCGTATAAAATTTGCTAAATTTATTCAAAACGTGTTTTGTCGGGAATACTATTATTACACGAAGGCAAAACAACTTCACAGTGATGGCTAAGACCGATTTTTTTTTCTCTACTTCGTTATTCCAATTAATCACAGCCAGTTTGATTAATCCAATATTCAGCTTCACTTCTTTTTACCCAGTTCTGTTATTGTTTAGAGATTTGGCGAGATAAAATGTTACTACTATACAAAAGGTAAGTGACTGCAAAATAAACACGACGTTATATTGTTACGCTAGATCATAGAGTGCGGTTTTGAATGTCCGTCCGGCATAAATATTGAGTTTCTAATAGGGCCTGAAACCTATTCAGTTTGTCTAGGCAGTTTATTTGCACTTTAAACTCGTTAAACATCGATTTGTCGACAAGTCTTCGACAGCTAAGCCGTATCGTCTTTATGTTTGCGCGGTTGGTCTCTTTTTCCTAAGGCTATTTTACATACCGTTGTTATTAATTTTATTGTTTAATCACAAAACTTGGATTACAGAAGAGGCCAAACTCGGCTTCCACTTAATAGCAGTTGATATAAGAAGATATCACTGACAGAAATGGCTCAGACCTTCGCATACTGGCAGAAATTGAACTGTGAGACATAGTTTTAGAAACAAGTGTTTTTCGGTGTAATTGAGCCTCATTATCATTTAGACAGCTTCAAAGATTACCAAATTAAACCCTTTTGTTTAAGTGAAAACCGAGGGCGTAACATTTAGCGTCGATGTCGGAATCATCATGATGTGTCTGGTGTGGACACACTGACTGGTTTCTATTAAATTCGAGAATCTTCCACCGCTTAATTTTCTTTGTGTTGCGGAAATTAGCGATTAATTTTCATTTTTATCATGGTTTTAAAAGGTTCATTGACACGAGAGTTCTACCATTATCAAATAATAATGCATCAGTTGCCTTAGAAGCAGTAGTGACAAGGAACTTAATCTATCACAAAATCATGCCTTGTTTTGCTTTCAAAAATTTGTACCAACTTTCAAAGCTAAATTCATGATATTCATCAGTCATACAAGATGACGATTGAAAGGCTTCATTTCATTGGACAAATAGTCTACAATAAAGAACATTTTTAGCGAATAGTACTTCTTGCTAGAATAAAACCATGAGGCTATTTTAAAAATGGTTATTAACTCATTATTATTTCACAAACTTGTTTTATCGAGATTCACTTTAGTCGTGTTCTAAACAGCAACAAGACCAGGGTGACTTGGCTGACAGTGTAAGCTACTAAACTGATTTTCTCTGCGTTTAGATTTGATTCAAAATGAAATCTAACATTTCTCTCTACTTTCTTATTGTCGGCACATTTCAAGACGCGCAAGTTGACTAGAAAGGTGAGTGACTGTTTTACAAATGGTTTAAATACTGTCTGACTGTCAGAGACGCATTTTTTGTAGCCATGAATGTTCTAACCACAGATAAAGCNTGCGGAAATTAGCGATTAATTTTCATTTTTATCATGGCTTTAAAAGGTTCATTGACACGAGAGGTCCACCATTATCAAATAATAATGCATCAGTTGCCTTAGAAGCAGTAGTGAACAAGGACCTTAATCCATCACAAAACCATGTCCTGTTTTGCTTTCAAAAAATTGTAGCAACTTTCAAAGCTAAATTCATGATATTCATCAGTCATACAAGATGACGAGTGAAACGCTTCATTTCATTGGAAAAATAGTCTACAATAAAGAACATTTTTAGCGAATAGTACTTCTTGTTAGAATAAAACCATGAGGCTATTTTAAAAATGGTTATTAACTCATTATTATTTCACAAACTTGTTTTATCGAGATTCACTTTACTCGTGTTCTAAACAGCAACAAGACCAGGGTGACTTGGCTGACAGTGTAAGCTACTAGACTGATTTTCTGTGCGTTTATATTTGATTCGTTTATATTTGATTCAAAGTGAAATCTAACATTTCTCTCTACTTTCTTATTGTCGGCAGATTTCAAGACGCGCAAGTTGACTAGAAAGGTGAGTGACTGTTTTACAAATGGTTTAAATACTGTCTGACTGTCAGAGACGCATTTTTTGTAGCCATGAATGTTCTAACCACAGATAAAGCGCTGTTTGCTGAAGCAATTTCAGACACTAGNAAAAAAAAAAAAAAAAAAAAAAAAAATGCACTGGCTTTAAAGCTTAAGTGAAAACACGAGCCCAACCCTTAATTTATGTTGAGATAAATGATGGAATGAGTCAAATGGAATTCAAAGAAGGCTTTCATTCCTAAGAATTGCTATAATTACAATACTTGTGATACTGCGCAGATTACCAAGCGACAAAAGAATTCCACAAGGCCAATACAACAATTGGAAAGGCCAAAATATCAAGAAAAATAAACAGATAAAGAGAATCACCTGAAAGAAGATAGGCTAAAACAATGGAATCAACAATGCGCGATTCAATAAAGGACCTAAAATAATGAAGACCACGAGAGCAATAACAGTACCAGAGACATTCCAATCCAACCTAAAACGCTTCTTAACCCGCCAAAGCAGGCTTTACTTTTAATCCTGTTTTTATTAAATAATATCAAGTAAACCTTCATAATTCGCCCCATATCCGAAATTCGCAACTATCTAGATCTATTTAGTGAGCCAATGGCTCTAGAAACGTGCTCAGGCTAAATATGCAATGACAGCGTTCACTTCCAAATGGAAATATGAAAAATTAGCAGTCGTCGTTCGCGTTCCTCAGACTACGTAAAACGTAGTCATTGTCTACTTGCACAAATCCCATAACACACCTCTTTTAACACCCCAAATTTTGCGTAATCATTGTTGGCAATTTCTCCTGGGACATGAAGATGTCCCAAGAAAAATCTAAGACAATGCCTATGCAAATTTTTTGGGGGTAAAAGAGGTGTATTATGAAATTTGTGCAAGTAGAGAATTCCACGTTCTTGATTTGCAAAAGACGGCAAAGAAATGTACAAAGATCTATAACGCGCGTTCACAGCTATTGTTTTGCTAATAAAACCTTTTGTTAGCTGACGTTCTCGTTGCCGTCGTCTTCGTCGTCTTGGCTTGCTTGATTTCCCTTCTACAGGGCGAGGAACGCAAGTACTGTACTGGACTAATTTAGCACGAGCGACATTAAAACTAGAGTGGTTCT